CGGCAGTGCTTCCGGCGTGGCTTTAGTAGAGCGGTACCGACTTGACGGGCGCACGCGTGCAATTCCGGAATCTCCAAGTAGTCCCAATATCTTTTGGTTGGCGCCGTTCGTCTGCCCTTCGAGCTGAGGCAAGAGATGTGGCAAAATACACGTTGAAAAAAAGTCAAAACTGAAAACAAATCACAGCCATATATATGCAAAAATGAATTGGTTCCTTCCGTCCGTCCGCTATCGGAGAGGCGGCTGAGTCAGTCAGTCAGTCAGTGAACTATCATTGCAGTCATCATCTTTCATCCATCCTCACAAAAATCGATGTTGTGCATTGTGCTCGTTTTCCGTTTGCATTCTCCATATTGTCGTTGTTTGACACCTCCATTTTGTCTCCTACTGCTCTTCCAGCCAGTAGCTTTTGGCATGTGGAAGAGTTTAAACTTGTGTGTCCCTACACACCTCGGACGACCCAGGCTTTAGCCAGCCTAAGACCAGCTAGGGATTCGTTTTGCCTCGCCAGCTCAGAAACTACCCTATGCACGTCGACGGTCGATAATTCCGTGGATGTTCACATCTGAAGGTTCCTCGGCTAGGAACCCATGCATGTAGTGTCCATCATCATCGTCATACGATTAGATTCCACATGGACGTCTGTTTTGTCCATCGTCATTAAGTTTTTATATTCGTGCATCAACTTGGTCTCGCCGGTTCCACTGGATTGTATTAGTGGAAAATAAGGAGCCATATACTCGTTTGAATGGATATTCTTCCACTCAAAGAGTTTGTCCAGCCGAGCCGCGAATGCCTTCAAGTCTCGTTTGTACACCATCTTGCTATCTCTGATGTCGTAGTCAATGTCTGTCACACGCTGTGATGCAGTTGCTGCAGTCCTAGAGATGGACGGTCTACTTTCCCCTGTCTTCAAGAAATGAGCCAAGTCGATCTTCAGACGCATTTGAGTCGGTTTGAAATAATCTTCATTTCCCTTCAAAAACTTGATAAGCTGAGATTTAGGGGCCCCCTTCTCAATATCAGTTACATCATCCTTGAACCATTCGTCTTCATTTGCAATATAGTCTCCAAGTGTTTTTTCATCATCAGGTGGTACAATATCGGTTGTCTCTTGGCTGTTCCGACTGCTTTTGGTGGCTCCCGTGTCATGATGATGATGCTTATTTGGACTGCTGCTGCCTATGGTGAAACCGTTGACTACATCTTTCGATATGAGCAAGAGAGCTATTACTGCTTTGAAGACGAGACAGCGCTGAGTCATATATGATACTGGCGATATGATGATCTATTTTATACGGTACTGCAAGAGATCAAAAACACGACGCTTCCTGAACCAAACTGATCAAAACCAAAAACGTGCAGCCTTGCAGACTTACTGAAAAGTATATCATTTTCCATGTGATAAGATGTGGTCAAATTCCATATATATCGATATCATATACACTTTTCCGCAAGGCCTGGTGGGCCAACACCATATGATTCCTACCTATGTAAAAATGTTGTTCCCACAAAGGCTTGCAGAAAAGTATATACCTCTCAGGGTCCCTTGATATACTATGCAATTTCAAGTCAGGCTCAATTCTGGCACGTAGAAATCGTACCGTTTTCGCGTAGACAAGAATACTGGCCTGGTTGAGAATATTGGAAAATACACGTTCCTCAAAAGACACCAGATTGCCCAAAACAAACGAAAACATCACCGTTGATGGATACAAAACAAACGAGACAAATGAAAGGAAATGAAAGAGGAGCAAAGGTGCTCTGATGTAAATGTAAGTTTTAGAAGGCAACATCTCGGACTTCGTGTAGAATTTTCTCAAACATGGCTCCTGCAAAACCTGTACGGGTTGGACTGGTGACATCGGCATCGCTTTCGTCAAACCACGCTCTCCGAAAGGAACACCTTCCACTCAGACGTTTGATAGTCCCAAGCGCACAATTCCATGTTTATTTTCGGATTCCCTGCAAAACCGACTCATAGGAATCCCCCGAATAACGGACCAAACGGACATTTGTCCGTCTGTCAGATCGGACGTGTTGAACTGCTTCTATCAAGGAGTTTTCAATGAATGGACTCCAAGAGAGCAATTCCAACAATAAGGAGCAGGCTAGTCAGCTTATGCGTCAGTGTCTCTATTTGCGATTGTTGTTGTCGTTGCAGACAGACTGAGGATTTGATTCGGCGTGCTTTGTAACGGTAATCCGGGAATGCTTGAGGCACGAGTGGATGACCTAGGCAATACATGATACTTGGATATGTGCCATATTGTTTGGCATATGCCCGATTCATAATGGCAATGGCAATATGCCATGCATATGAATCCTGCCTATCAATATGCTTCGCCTCTGCAAGGATCCCTACATGTCTGTTTATCTCTTGCACTGCTCTGAGGGTATGATGTCGTTGCATGATGATTTGTTATTTGAGTTATGTAAATGATATCCAATCAATTAAATTACTGTCGTTGTGTGATGGTTTGTTGTTAGAGCAATCTCATCAATCGAAGTACTGGCTGCGTTTGATGGATTCCATCAGATCATTTTGATCCTTCTGTTTCAGCTCCGAAACTTGATCAGTGTTCCAAAAATAAGCTCTTCGGAGATCAATCCACTTGGCCCTCCCATTGACGCATACAATGTTCTCCACTCGAGCATCCCCATGCACCACATTGTTTTCGTGGAGCTCTTGAAGACAATCAATAATAGCTTTCTTTGAAAGACTAGAATAGTGATTTCCAACTTCCGAAAATAGAAGAG